AGTAAAACATTTTGTACAAAAATTTTAACAAATATACACAATTTTTTTTTTGAATTTAATATTTTTTTATAATAAATAAACATCTTTGAAATTCCATGCATTTATTAAACATCCTTGGTACAAATTCGAAATCATACTTGAATTCTATGCAATTATTAATTCCGTCTAATGTTATGGGAAACAAATCATCTGGAAATGTAACAAAATGATAAGGAATTTTAAAATTTAAATTTTAAATGAGACATGTTTTTACTTGAATTCTATGCAATTATTATTTTGTCCGATTTTATGGAAAACAATTCATTCAAGATTTTAATGTAAAAAAATGATAAGAAATTTTAATATTTAAATTTAAAATTGAAATGAGACATGTTTTTATTTGAAGTCTATATGTCCGATTTTATTGCAAAACACATCAATTAAGGATGGAATTAATGCAGACCAATTTTTTGGCTATAAAGTATAAGACAATTGAAAAAATGATAAAAATAGAATGCATTAATTATCCTTTGACTTTTCTTGTTACTAAATTAAATAAAGAGGATAGCTTTATATATATATATATATATATATATATATATATAACATTAATCATAATTTACCTATTGTTTACAAATTAAATGGAGTTGGACAGTCCGATGAGATGGATAGAGAATCAGTTTATAACCAGTCTAGTTCGCTTGGATAAAATATTTGCTATTGAACCCGTCAACACCAGTCGGTCGGACTGGTAAAATTGATACGATTTTCTAAATAAATTTTGTTAAATTTAAAATTATTTTGAATAAAAATAAATATTTAAATAAAATTAAGATTTATAAATTTTTTATCAATTAGTTTAAACATTTGAATTTTGTTTAGGTATTAAATTAACACCTTTTATTTAAATTTATTACAAAATGTACAATATATATTAATATATATATATATATATATTAAAATCTGAGCAAACCATATATCATTGAATAAAATAACTTGATCATTTTGATGACAATCTGATTCCGATTGCCTTATATTTACTGTAAATTAATAAAAATTATAATAAAATATTATTTTGTTCACATAAATATTGATAAAAAAAAGTATAAAATATTCATAAATCATTAAACACGTAGTAATAGAAGTATTATTAATTTGATTATTTGGAGTTTGGACTACATCACATTCACGTAATAA